CACAGCGGTGTCCTCCCTAGCCCAGTCTTGGATGGTACCGCTGCCAAAGGCTATGTAGAAGATCAGGCCAAACAAGTTGAGGGCTGCAGATACGAAGAAGGCATTCCTCCAGCCAGTCTGGAGATCCTGGGGGGGCAAGAACAGATCACAATGGTATCACCCTTCCCTTTATCTCCATGTAGTGATCACCCAACTACTGCCACCCAATTCACTGGCACTAAAATCTCCATCCTCTGCTTGCTACTAGTACCAACAACAGAAGAGCTTTGCTCAACTCAAGACATATGCCAGACCCCCTCTTGTTGGAGATGCATTTCCTGCTTTGGCATTTTTTGAAACATTGTGTGCTGTGCTCTATTCAGGAAGCTTTCCTGCCTGGCACAGAGCTTCCCCCTCACCCCACTCCCTTGACCCTCTCCCCATCTCTAAGTACATCCAAATGGGGCTCATGTGGAGCTCTTCCTGCTTTCTGAGTCATCCCCATGTCCTCAAAATGGTCCAGAGCTCTGGTTTGCCAGCTGCTATATCACATGTGTTCATTGGGAAGAGGGGGTTGGCTTGGAGTAATTTTTGATTTAGTGCAAAGGAATCCATTTCTGAGAACTGTGTTTTCTTCTAGGGATGTGCTTGTGGTTTGTGGCCCCAAATTACCTGGCTGACAAGAAGTCCAACTGCAGTAGGAGCAATAATTCCTGCGACTATTCCAAAGGTATTTGTGATTCCCAGCAGGAACCCTGCATATCTGGGGAGAGGAAGCAAAGATTTCCTGAGTGAGGCAGAGGGGAAACTGTCACAAGAAGGGAGAGGAGTAGGTGCTGCCAGTCCCTTCCCTCATCTGCATGAATACTGCCTGTCATGCCGAACAACACTAGGAGCTTCCCTGCAAGACTGGGGGGGATTTTAAGCCTTTATTTTACTCCTTAGCTTACAATGCCAGCAGCTACAGAAGAAAAGGGAAGGGAGAGTAGGAGTTGCAGAAGCTTCGGGGGATTGGGAAGGACGCAGAGCCAGGGAGGGCACAAAAGTCAGAGCCACTTACCTGGGCGCTATATCGATGTGGTTAATATTGATGCCTGCCCCTGTCATACTGATTATTGTCAAGGCCAGTGTTAGAAGGACCACAACAACTGTGGAACTGCAGCCAATGTAAGGCACAGCCACCAGGAAGATGGCTGGGAGCAGCATCCCTTGGGAGGAAAAGGGGATGTGTTTTATAACAGGCCACATAAGTGTGTTTGAAAGGCTGGACAGCAGATGAAAGCTTGTCCTTACCGAGTGCTGAGAAGAGCTTCCTGACGGCTGCTGTGCCAAGCACTCGCCTGGCTAGGAGGAAATCAGCCAGCAGCCCAGCCAGGATGTGCCCCAGCCCATTCCCAACATAAGGCAGGGAGGAGAGGAGCCCATTCTGCAAAGCAGAGAACAAGGCATTGTCACATCCGTGGCCCAAAGGAATGGAGCCAAGAGCTCCAAGACTGTGGCTCCCTTGGTCCCAGAGCCACCAGTCTTCAGGAAGAGATGTCCCTGAGGAACCTCCATGTTCCCAGCCTACAGAGGAACGAAGTCCCATCGCTGTTGCAGGGACCAGCCTCAGCTGCAGGGCAGCACTCACCTCTCTGAGGTCAAAGTGGAGGACGTTGCTCATGAACGTGGGCATGGAGGTCAGCAGCATGTAGAACAGCCAGTCTGTGCAGAAGCAGGCAACGGTGATTGCCCAAAGAGGCAGTGATTTAGCCATGGCCACAAGTGGCAGGGAGTGGCCATGAGAGCTGCCCTGGAAGGAATAAAACATCAGCCAGTGCCTCCTTTCCTGTCTCACATCCCCTGCGCAAGCTGTCCAGGCTTTCTTTGGCCTCTCCACCTGCTGCTGAGAAGACTGGGACTAGCCCTGGCCACTCTATAAGGAATCCAGCTGAACTGCCACAGAGCAGTCCCTTTGCCAAGGTGTCTGCAGCGTGGTCAGTTGTGGTTAAAAGGTTTGTGTGTACCTGATGAGCCAGCAATGACATGATGTACTCCTGCTCCCTGGCACTAATCCATGGGTGATGTGCAGGATCCTCATACACGAGGAGGAACCAGCAGAGGCACCAGACACAGCCAACACCACCTGTGAGGAGTGGGACTCTCAGTGCCAGCCCCTCTCTATGGTGAGCTGTGGCAGAACTCAGAGCCAGTGGGATGGAGGCTGATGCTAGCGAAACAGCGAGGGCAGGAAGATAGAAAGTGACAAACTCCCCTGAACCCATTGCTCACAGTGGAAGGGGTTGGGTTGATGGCACAAAAGGTTCAGCAAAGGCATGTTCCCTACTAGTACTCCAGCAAAATGGTTTCATCCTGGCCTGGCAGGTGAGAGGGGAGCCCAGAGCTCTGTGTGGGACTAATAAGGATGGAGCTGGTCCTGCAGGGATCTGATGGAGAACCTTTGGGAGCTCTGCCAGCAAATGGCCTGCAACGGGGTTGGAGGAGAAGGACGTGATGGGCCATTACTCACCAAAGATGTAGAAGACAAAAGGCCACCCCAGAGTCTGACAGATGATCCCAGCCACAAGGAGAGCAAAGAAAGTCCCAAAAGTGCATCCTAGGGATCAGAAACCAGAAGAGTCATTTTAATGGGACTTTGTGTGAACAGCAGCAAGTGGGACAGACCTACAGCCTGATTTGTGATGGGAAAATGGGTGGCACAAATGAAGCACCTGTGCAAACAAGCACCCTTGTATCCGGGTTTACTCCCTTCAGTGTCCAGGTTCCCTCTCCTGACTCAGGCTCACCTGAGCTGAGGAGACAAAAGACACAGGATGGGAGGAGGAGAGGAGGAAAGGCTGAACGCTGCTAATACTTCTTTGCCAAGGACCCACAGCTTTGAACTTTAGGCTGCTACAAGGACTGGCTTGGAAAGAAGGGGCTGAGGGGAGGTCCTGCACTTACCGAGTCAGTGGTAGGGAAAAATCCTTGTGCCTTACCAGCATCAGCAATGTTCATGAGCCTGCTGCGTTCCAGTGGAGGGGCCCATTTTGCCCAGAGCGTGTACTGAGCTGGAAATATCACTCCCTGCAAAGATAACAGGAAGCGTGGAGGAAGGGGACACGGGGAATACAGCCAGGGCTAACCAGAGCAGGTTTCATAACCTGGCAACACCTGGAGCCACAACTGACCTCAGCCAAGCCCAGTAGCACCTGCAGCCCGATGAGGAAGCTCACGCCGAGCTCTGCTGCTTGGGGCATGAGGAGGGTTAGCACAGAGGAGAGCAGGAGCCCACTGCCCAGGACAGGTTTCCCCCCGAGTAGCCCTGAGCAGTACCCGCCCAGCGCCTGTGTGAGGCTGTAGCCGTAGAAGAAGGAGCTGAGGACAATTCCTTGAGTCTCAGCACTCCAGTTGTACACGGGGGCCTGGAGGAGACAGAACACATCTGTCAAACAGAGATCTCTGTTTTCCAGGCAGAGACTCCTCCAGAAGGGGAGAAGCAACCAGGAAACGCAGCCCTGAGTACAACAAACTGATCTCTCTGCTCCTTCACCCCCCTTGTCCTCAAGGCTTTTCTCTGCTGCTTCCAAGTCTGTCCTCCCACAAAAGAAAGAGTGGACTGAGCACAGGAAGCATCTTTCAGTTATCTGCATCTGCTTTCCACTTACGTCCTGAGCAAATGCTGGGTAGGAGCTGTGGGGAGCACTGCCAGACCAGCCATGGGGATGGCTGCTGTTAGTCATGGCGACAATGGCGATGCTGAGGCTGACCCGGAGTGCGTATGCCACGAAGAGAGAGATGTGCAGGACCAGGGCCAGGCCACAGCGAGCAGAGCAGAGCCCTGTAGAAGGAGACAGCCCACAAACTGAGGCTGGTTAGAGAGGCCATGGGTTAACTCTAACCCCATCCTACAGATCTGTGTCACGAGGCAATCACTGTACTGCAGCAACAAATGGCTCTTTCCAGGTACCCTCCAGACATCTACCACTGAGCCCCTGCCCTCCTCCTTTGCAGGGATGGCCGTTCATATCTTCAGAAGGAGAACAGAGGGGCAGAACGGCAAGGAGACTTGCCCAGGGATGGAGGGGACATGTGGAAGCCAGAGGTCACTGGCTCCCAAGCCCTGCTGAGGCAGCACTTCAGCCCACTGCTCCCCAGGGAGCGGATTTACCTGTGCGGGAGGAGGGCTGCTGAGCAAGCAGAGGGGCTTCATCCTGCTCTGCTTCCGTCCCGTCCCCTGCCTGTGTGTTGTCCACGTGGCGCTGCATCCTCTCCTACCTGCAAACGCTGCTGCCTGCTTCTCCTCAAGATAATGCCCGGCCCTGTTACAAAGCAAATCTCAAACATCAACAAACACAGGAGCAGCCGGGCAGTGACCCTTGGCGTTTCCTCCCAAAGCCATTACCAGCACAGCAAGAGCAGAGCAGGCTGCTGGTCGCAGATGCCTGCACTGCCAGCACAAATGCTTTATGAGCACAGTGATTTACAGCTGCCTCAAAACCTCCCTGGGACGGACTTATTTGCACCCGTTGTTTATAGCCCTCGACCACAACAGCCTGACAGGGCAACGAGGTGTCTCCCACCCCGGGGTGCTCCCACAGATGCCCCAGGGGTACCCGCTGCCCTCCCTCAGCTGGTGCAAAGGGAGGCTTCTTCCCCATCCCATCCAGTCCCCCCCTGGGAGTAGCTCACGTGTGGGGAGAGGTGTCTCCCCCAGCCCAGAGGGGACCAGCGTGGTCGTGGGTCTCCTGGCTCCGTCTCCCGGGGCGGGGAGCGGGAGGCAGCCACCTCTGTGCTGTGCCAGGATTTGGGATTTCAGGGACCTGGGTGGGGCAGAGCACCGCCAGGACTCGAACCAGCTCCTAGCGTGGGAACACTGGGGTCACGCCCCCTCGCCGCTAGACCACGCCCCGCACGCATAGGCCACGCCCCCACAGCTAGCACCGCCCACCACCACGGATCCCGCCCCTGTCTGGTCACGCCCCCGCCAGGCCGCGCCTCCGACGCCTGACCCGTGCCGAGCGCGAGTCATGTGCTCAGTCAAGATGGCGGCGCTCAGGGCGGCGGTGCTGGTGCTGCTGGGGCTGCGCCTGGGTTTCGCGGCTACCGCCGTCCCCCTGGTTATCTGGCACGGCATGGGTGAGCAGGGACTGGTAACGGGGGGCGGGGCAGATCCTCCGGTAACGGCTCTGTGGGCGGGGCTGCGGGGCTTAGCTGGCCCGGCCCGCGGACGGGGCCGTGCTGGCACCCCAGCAGGCCCGAGGGGAGCTCGCCGGCCGCCCCCGGCTCCGCTCCGATGTCCCCCTCCTCCGGACAGCCGGTTTCTGCGGAGGCTGGGAGGTGCTGACTCTGCTCCCCCAGGCCTGTGTGTGCATTGACGGATCCTGGTCCTGTTGCAGCAGGGAGGTGCTGGTGTGATGTATGTGGAAGCGAGGTGAGGGCCTGGGCGGTGGTGTGACGGTACTTCGGACGTTCCCTTTCACAGGAGACAGTTGCTGCAATCCACAAAGCATGGGCTACATTAAGAAAATCGTGGAGAATAAAATACCAGGGATTTATGTTCTGTCACTCAAGATTGGAAGCAACCTGATACAGGTAACTAACTGCTGGCACTCACATTTCTGCTTCGCAGAGTGTGCGGTGGCCAGTGTGCGGATCTGAAAGTGCGATAGTTATTGCGGTCTTTGTTATTAATGTTGTTCTACAAGGATTGCTGTAGTGCTTTCCCTGCTGTTTTTCTGCTTTGTGAAGTAAACAGCTTTGACAGGTAGAAACCAATAATGTCTAGATAATACCTGCAGAAAAGAAATCAGGGAAAACCAAATCCCTAGTCTGAATTGGATTTATATGCAAATCCACTGATTAGCATGCTCTCACCACTCCAGGTAATACAAAGGCATGCAATAAGATACCGTGCGAAAGCAGAGCTTTATCCCATGCTGTACTTTTTGATTTACAACCATTCATTCAGTATACATCTTCAGTATAGTAAAGATACAGACTTTTTCTGTGCCTTTGTATTTTGTGACAGTTTTGTGTAGCCCTACTGAATTTATTTAAGTAGTCTCTCAGAATAATGTGCAATGTATGTTATTTTCTGGGATCTGGAAAAGATGGGTGAAGTTTGATTATTTTTTTTTAAATTATATATACATATATATATATGTACAAAATCTGAAGGGACTTAAATTGTCAAGAAGCTTGGGGAAATGTCACTGTTCCACATTTGCCAGGCAGAGTAGGAACAAAGACATGGTGAAGGGAAATCTCAAAATCTGAGTTTCACTTGTGTCATGTTGTGAAAGTTAACATCCTCTTTCAAAAGCAGAACTGTTAGTGGTCTATTTGCAGAGATTAAAATAGTGTAAGCCATTGTAAAGGTACAAGGTTTACTTTCTAATCTGGCTAATCCATCAGGATATGGAGAACAGCTTCTTTATGAATGTGAATGATCAAGTGACAGAGGTGTGCAGCCAACTTGCAAAGGACCCTCACCTGAAAGGAGGCTACAACGCAATGGGCTTCTCCCAAGGAGGCCAGTTCCTGTAAGTTTACACTTCTGTTCCATTTCCAGTGATTTCTGTTGGGTTTTAGGTTCTGATTTTTGAAGTACTAAGCAGATGTAAACTGACAAACCCTTTTGTAACTGTAGGAGCACTCCAAAGGAGGCAAGAATGTGTTTACCTGTAGTCCTCCTCTACCAGGAAGGGTTAATTCTCTTTGCAAATGTTGCCCAAGTGCCTGAGCCCACGCAGTGGCAAGCTGAGAGCTGCATGTGAACCAGCATTGGTGGCCTGGGCATGCTGAGCGCCTTTATCTTTCTCCACAGGAGGGCGGTGGCCCAGAGGTGTCCTTCTCCTCCCATGCTCAATTTGATCTCAGTTGGGGGACAGCACCAAGGTAGTGTCCTCTTAAGCTACCTCACATCCTAACTGCTGTGAAGGGTGGGATGCTCTTGTTGGCAGGAGGAATGATTTTTTTTTTTAGCCTCTTCCTAAAACCTGACTGTTTTCTTGTGAATTAAACTGTACCTTTGCTCCTGTCTGAATCTGGTGATCTGCTTTGGCCCAGTTCTTAGCTGACCACATTAATTTCTGTCTTGGTCTTGCTTAACTGGCAATGAGAAGGGACCTTTGTAAGTAGGTGCCTTATTGTCTGGGTTAGAATTCTTACATACTTTGGAAGCACTTGGGATTAGTTGTTTCTGGAGAAGAAATTCCTAACTACAGAGCAAAGCGTTTGTGAAACTAAGCCTTCTGGGTCACAAGGACATTTTACAATCAGCATCTGGAAGGCTAAAGCCCCAAGGAAAGGGAGGTGCTTCTTGCAGTAGATTAAAGAGGCAGTATGAAGTGGAATTTAAGAGGCGTACAGTTAAGAGCGGCTGGCAATGAATTTCAAATACTCTCCCCTGAGGTGTTGCATGGCTTGAGTCTATTTCTTTGTAGTGTAGTGGGAAGACCTGTAGGGAATCATCCTGAGACCTCCTGGGAACACACCAGGCGAGCTGGATGGTATTCTGCTTGTCTGCATGCCTCCATTCTCCAGAGCAATATGCTCAGCTCAAGAACATCATCCATTATCTTTGTGTGTAATAGTGCCCAGGGGCAGGAGGGCTGTCTAATGAGATTGCAGGATTAAAGGCTGCCTTATTCCCTGGGTAATTCTTGCTACTGCTCTGTAAGAGGGTGGTTCTTTACCAGCTGGAGGGATTAAGGGATTTCAGTTCGGCTTACCGAGTTGTTACACGTCTCCATACCCCAGGCGTGTACGGCTTTCCACGCTGTCCTGGCGAGAGCTCCCATATCTGTGACTGGATCCGAAAGACGCTGGATCTGGGCGCCTACACACAAGCTGTTCAAGAGCAGTGAGTATATTCATCAGGCTGCAATGATGGTGGCTGGCCCCATCTGAGAAGCCTGGGTTTCCGGTCTGATCTTTGGTTTCTCTCTTCTCCAGCTTGGTACAAGCAGAATATTGGCACAACCCTCTGAAGGAGGAGGACTACAGGAAAAACAGCATCTTTTTGGCTGACATAAATCAGGAGAGAGTAAGAACCTAGCTGATGATTAAATGCTAGCAGGAGAGCAAAAGCCTTACCAGTGAGCTCATTCATGTTAGTTCTCCCTGGCAGTAGTTTTGCTGGAGTTTCAGGGGGAGCATTTTTTGCCCTGCATCCCAGGAGTGTACAGTGTTTTTGCTGGTAGATTTGTGAATGAAACTTGTCCATAGCAGAGCAGTTCCTGTGTCACTGCACTCTTTTGGAGTGGTTGGTGTAGATATGACACATGCTTAGTCCACCCATCACCTTTCAAGTGCGTGAATCCTCTCCCTCCCCTGGGAAGGCAGGGGAGGCCCATCCCCTCTTTACAGCCTCAGCCTGGGAGGAGGCTGAATGCCGTGAGCACATTGAAGGGGGGCTGGTGATAGAAATGCACGTTCCTGCCTCCTAGGCTGGTGCAGTCCAGGGTTTTGCAGGTGCAGGGCAAGTTGGAGTAGCTGGTTTCCCTGACTGTCTCACCAGGCTTTCCAATGACTTGGATCTGTTCTCTGTTGCTTTCATCCAGGGCATCAATGAGACATACAAGAAAAACCTGATGGCTCTGAAAAAGTTTGTGATGGTGAAATTTCTCAATGATACCATGGTTGACCCTCCGATCTCTGAGGTGAGGCAGGCAGGGTGGGTGCTGCTTTTGGGTGGCATTTTGGTGCTTGCTTGCTTGTTTCTGGTTTGTTCTTTGGTGGCAGAACTTGAGGTTAGCAAGGAGCACAAACACAGGCCTGATACTGTGCTGTCTCCAGCAGAAGCCGGTGAAAGCCTGCTTATCTCCTGCGAGCCCTTCAGCAACTCTTTCCTTGTTTTTATTCTGACAGTGGTTTGGGTTTTACAAAAGCGGCCAAGCCAAGGAGACCATTCCACTGAAGGAGACCTCGCTGTACACAGAGGTATGTTCTGCTGGGGGGTTTCTGCCGTTTCCACTCTATAGCGTCCCTGGGGCCTTGAGGAGCTCTAAACCCCACAGCTCTGTTCTTCTCACCATCTCTGCTGTTCCTGGGGCATTGCCTCCTCTTGCCAGTAGCTGTCTGGGAAGGCATTTCTCTCCAGGCCAGTGGGAATTACAGTGGTGGTCTCACACCTGGGGCAAGATCTGCTTCAACACATGTTTAATGAATTCTGCTCCTTTTTAAAGCCTTGCTGTAAGACTCATCCAAAATGCCTTTTCCCCTCTATGAGGGGAAGCTTTGAAGAGCAGAAGTGGAACCCACTCTAGCCTGCCAGCCAGTTATGCTGCAACAACAGTCTCTGACCATCCATGCTTTTCTCCATGCTGGGTTCCCCAGCCATTGCCAGTGTTTGGCTGTGGCAGGGCCCCAGGAAGTTATGGTCACACTTCTCTCTGCAGGATCGCCTGGGGCTGCAGGAGATGGACAAAGCAGGAAAGCTGGTGTTCCTGGGGGTGAAAGGGGATCACCTGCACTTCTCAGAAGAGTGGTTTTACACCACTATCCTCCCCTTCCTCCAGTGAAGCTAAGGGGAGGCACCCTGTGAGAGCACTGGGGAGGGTCTACCACTGTAGTTAAAGCAGCTGCTACTGTGCAACAGCACTTTCTGCGTACAAGACTGGGGGGATCTCGGGAAGGGGAAGAAGAGGGGGTTTAGCTCAGCAGTTCCACAGTGTGGCACCTGCTACACTGCAGTAAGAGACCGGGATTTGTCTGGATGTAATAACACTTCAATATAGGTGGACTGAGCCTTGTACTAATTGTGAAGCACTCCACCGTGCACAGGCCTTGGTAAGTCTACTTCAGTTCTCAGAGCTGCAGCTGTGCTTGTCACTTGGTGATGGCAAAATAATTAGCTGCTTGAGAGGCTTGTGTTCCCTGTTACCTGTTCCTTGCAGGATGCAATGGCAGTATTAACCAAAATCACTAGTTTAAGAATGCTGCATCTTTTAAGGGGATCAGCAAGTAGACTTACATGGCTGTATGCAAAAGAAAGATATTACAACCTCTCCTTCAAGATGGGGAAAAGGGCCAAATTTAGGGGTTTCTGGGAAAAAGGAGGGTTTTGAATTAAGTGGGTATTAACAGCTTGAAGAGTTTTCAACTAATGGCTTGTTTTATGCACTTTTGTACAGCAACTGAAATCAATAAAGAACTTTACATCTAACCAACTGAGAAAAAAAAAAAAAGGCGAGATTTGACAACTACTGACAATTTGATTCAAGGGGAGTTGAGGAAAGTCTGTACTTCCCCCTGGGAAAGTATTCAAAGCAGTCTAGGCAGGGTTAGGCAGCAAAGGGCATCTTGTCCTACCCAAGGTCCTGTGTGCCCCCAAAGAGTAAACCAGAGCCACTGTAATGAGCAAGTTGGCATTAACTTTATTCTATCTTCTGTATAATCTTAAGTACATAAGAAAGGTTTTTTCACAAGCCTCAGGAGAAGACAAGTACAAGTCACAGGACAGTCTCAAAATAAAAAAATTGCATATTTTTTTGTAAGTTTTGTCCTAGAGAAAAAGAACATTGACACTTTACAGAGGAAATGCATTTAAGATATGCTTATGCCACCCGAGGCATTGGAAAAATGAAGGTCAAAGCACGTGCAGCTCCCTTTATGGGTCAGTACAGTACTGTGTCTTAGATCCATCACTCTGCTCCAGGGCCCTGGAACAGAGGCTACAAGCTTCCACCAAAGTAAAGAGCCAAGCAACATGGGAAAGGGGAGGTTGAGAGGATTCACTTTATGGGGACTGATTGCAGATGAGGAAGAGAGTGATGAACCAACTTGATCCAAACCGGGTATTCACAATACTGCACTACTGACCCTGGAATGAAGGAGACCCTTCCTCTGCAGAAGGGGACAGGTTCAGAAGAACTGCCCTGGAAGACTGAACCTGAGTTCAGCTGCTCTGAGAAGGAAGCCCTGGGGCAAAGATTTGCTTGCGAAGGTGGAGGACTCATGGAAATAAGAGATGCTCAGCTCCAAGCTACCAGCCAGACTGCTGGGGGGGTAACCACAGTTACTCCACTGCAGTCTTCCTGTGGCACTGGTTAATATAAAGCCTCCTGTCATGGCACAATCAGAAATACACTGAGCTAGTAGGAATGATGAAAGAGAAATCAGGGTGGAATGCTACGGCCCAGGTCCTCAGCCTTTGGTCCGACAAAGCCATTCCCATGTCCTGTAATGCCACCAACTAGTACATAGAGCTGGAATTAGCAGCTTCTAGGACCTTCTTGAGACATCTGCCATAGCAACTGGGTACGCTGGACCCCGACAGACACCATTATTTGTTAAAAAGGGGACAACAATCCATTCCTCTCACATGAACAGTTTGCTTAAAGGCAATACAAAAAAAACCCCGAACAACGCTCTGAAAGCCAACTGCCAGTACTGGCTGTGAAGTTCACTGAAAAATCTGACTTGATAATTGGTGCAGTTAGATCAGACAAGGGGAGAAAAAAAACAAAACAAAACAATACACCTTCCTGCTAATAGATGTGGACAATAACTGACCCGCCACCTACACCAAACCCTAGGCAGAGGTATTTCAGTGACGGCAGGTAGCTGTGTCTCTCGGGTAGAAGAGAAGCAGTTTGAGAGCAGAAAGGTACAAGAAATCTAAGAGAATCATCTGAAAGCAGATTTGTCCCACAGCAGGGCCAGGGGAGGGCATGAGCCTTGGAGCTTTTCTGCTTAACCAGCAATTTCCGTCACAGTGGTAACCAACTTCTGACCGTTCCACACTGTCTTGAACTGTTCTGGGACAGGGAATTCAGTCTGGAGGGTAAAAATAGAAATCTGTTGTCAAAATCAGTTTATGACTGAGACTAGTAACTCCTTCCACTGCTTTAGGCATTTCTTTTCTTAGATACATGCTGTGTCCCTTGCTGTACCACAAATGCTGCCTGTTCTGCCCCCAAGAAATCCTGAAGAAGCAGCTCTCACAGAAAAGCAAGTATCTCACTATAAAGACAAACAACTTGAGCTGCTGCTTTTAACATCTGACCATAATTTGTGACCTCTGAAGTCTAGAGTCTAGAATTGTCCCTCCAGACCTCACTGTAACCGACGTTCCCTGCAGGGCTCAAAATACGAATCCCACCCTGCATTACCCCAATCCCAAGCAGACCTCCACAATGATCTCAAAACTAACACTTACAAAGTCACCACCCTCTGTGGGAATAAGGACATTCATCTCTGATGACTTGGCACTGACGATTTCACAGTCTAGGGAGTTCTTGCTCAGATACACGTGGCAACCGTCTGTCTTGTTGATGGAAATTGTTGGCACTTTACCCATTACCTAGCAGAGTGGTCAAAGCAGCAGTTAGAGGAGCATTATTTTGAACTGGGCAACCGCAACGTTTTTCTTTTGTGCTTGCCTTCAAGGCAAGAGGTTTGACTCCAGCCCGCCCACTGCAGACACACTGGATTCCAGTACGCCCGCCTTGGCAAAAATCCAAAGTTATTTCGTGTTTTGATCTCTTTAGAACAAAACTACAGTGAACACTGGACAAGCTGGCCATCCCGAATCAGATACCAGAACTGGAATCAGAGTAGATTCTACTGCTGGCCTCCTACTTCAGCAGTCATATTATGCTGCCCACCTCACAGAGACTAATCTTTTACCTAGAGCCCTGAAGCAGCCCAGTGAGGCAAATTTCGGCCCCTTCCTAAGGGCAGAGCAGTAGGACAGATGGTGTTTCATGAATATTCTCCACAGATGCACATTCCTATTCCGGAAATAAACCTACTCAAAGGAGCAGATGCTACAGATGCCCTGTTGTACAGTGCAGCAGTCACACCCCAGGCAGAGAACAGGTTGCAGACACTCACCTGAACTTTAACATCCCTGCTGTTTATGATCTCTACGATGCCCACCACGTCATCGAACACCAGACCTAGCTTCTTACAGTTATCTGCAAAGAAAAGACAGATCAAGTCAGAGAAAGGTTTTGGAGATTCAGCCTTCTGCAAACAGACCAGCACACAGAAGCAGTTTTCAGGGTTTCTCCACTTACCGAGGGTGATGGAGTTGATCTTGCCTTTGATTTGGAGTGTACTATTTGTGCACTTGAAAACATATGCTACCTGTTTCAACTCTGTGTCGCTGATTACCAGGTTAGTGGCATTCTCCTGGTTTTCCTGAAAAGGCAGCAAAAACGCCCTTAATTTTTGGAATGCAGACCAATTAGTCCATGTGTACAGCAGGGCAGTGCAGACCCTTTAAAAGTAAACTGCGTGTGCCTTCGGGCTGGTGCCTCTTACAAGAAAGGTCCTCGGGAGACCTTCCTTCCCTGCTGCAAAGCTCCCATCCCTCCAACCCACTCATGCCAATGCCAGGCACTCACCACTCTCCACTTTTTGCCCTCTAATTCTAGCAGCGCAGGTGCCTTCGGAGAGGTTTTTGGGGAAGGATTAGCATTACAGGCTGGTTTGGGAGCAGTGAAAGGTTTGGGTCCACTTCTCACAGGACCCCCTTGGTTCTTCAGTGCTGGATTCTTGTGGGTCTTCATGTCATCTGAAACATGTCTTAAGCCTGCAAGAGAAGTCAAACCTGAGATCCAGCTCTCCTCCAAGAATGCAGTTTCACAAACACCAGACATCAGTGATTACAACAACCAGCACGATAACATTTTTCAAAATGCAAATTATTGAAACTGGGCCTAAGTTGAGCCCAAGCACAAGTGACAGCAAGTGAAAGAGGGACCAAGAAACACTGATGCAATATTGACGAGAACACAAGATGTACTGTAGAACCAGAAGACACTGGCTCTTCTACTCTGCAGCTGGTAAAAGCCTTGAGCCAAGCACCTCACTTTTGTTTCACGTCTATCCTGATACGCTAACCAGGTAACACACAAAAGGGGTAAGTCCTGTGCAAATACGAATAGGTGCAATAGGAGATGTGCAGGCAACCAAAGGGTTCCCTCTCTCGGTTCCAGCTAGAGATTAATCTCTTGCTACACCTGACAGATGAAGCTGAGAATGCTAACCTTTGTCCCTGTAACTGCCTCAGGGCTGCTTCTGGCTCCCAGCACCACACTCAGACCAGATGGCCTTTTGTTACTGCAAGCTACTTTCTAAGCAGGTGTATTGAGGGACAGCAGCAAAACAAGGATTTGCAGCACAACAGTACTCTCACTCGTGGCTGCCCTCCCTCCGCTAGCTACTTCCACCTACCAGAGGTGATGCCTTCTCCCCGATTGATCTGGGCGAAGAGCGCAGAGCGGGAGGCAGAGTCATCTGTGCTGGAGCTCGTGGGGGCAGGAGCAGGTGGGGGAGGAGGGCCTGGTGGGGGAGGCGCAGCCCCGGCTGGGGGAGCGGATGGTGATTTAGCCCCTTCTGTTGCTACAGGACCCTGTAAGAGGCCGGCAAGAGGAAAGGCGATTGCACAAGCTCCATATCTGCTGCAATAATCATGCAATACTCATCTAAGAAGCTCCTGCAGATGTAGCCAGAACTTACCGTTTTGCTCCAAGTCAGCCCTGTGGTGTGATACTCTTTGATGTAGGCCTGCAGCTCTGTCCAGATACTCAGATAAGCTTTCACCCAGTCCACTTGCTTTTTATCTCTGAGGACATAAGGAGGTCACAAGGAGTGAGCAGGTGCATTTGTCATTAAAACCCTAGGACTACAGTTAGTTCTTTACATCTCTCCACCTCTCAGCCTACAGGCAAGACACAGCTAGACCAGCATGGCAGCCTTGCAGCTCCAGCACTGCATTCTAGCTTTAGTATTAATCTTGCACCTGCAGGCAGAAGGCCACAAGCCTGGTCTGCCCTGTAACCCATTTTAATTGAGGAGTCTGGTACTTCCAACAAGACCCATTCCCGAGGCACAACTTGCTGTCCTGGGAAACAGTTCAGCCACCAGATGATGCTGAGCCAAGAGCAGGAATACATTTTCTACCAGAGATTCCAGCTGCAACATGAATGCAAGGAACCTTGTCTAAGGATCAGGGAAGAACAGCTAAAGTGAGGCTTTATAAATACACCCTGCCTTTAAAAAGAAAGAATTAAAGACCAAGGCAGCTGTGGTTAGACACTGGAGTAGCCCCTACACACCCAGTTAGCTGTGTTCAATGACATCTTTAAGAGAGAAGGTGAACTTACACATCCTTGTACTCCTTGAGGATCCGGTT